ATCTATCGACGCACTCGAAAGCCCGTTGTGCTCTCGAGTGCAGTGTGTTGGTCGTGGAAACGCAAGCGCCAGGTGTGATCGATGCCTACGAAAAAGTATCCGTAGAACACTCCTAACATGAACTATTCTGTGACATTTACCAGTGAGGATTAAGCTCAGACGAGGCCACGGAAAGGTGAAATTAAAGCGGAGAAACGAGAGCGTGACCAATCGATCACTTATCAGCATACCAATTTGTTTTTCGCAGGAGACGCATCTGGAACCCAACTGAATCTATGGACTATATCGTTCTTCAACTGAATGTGCTGCACCAGGCCGCCTCATATTCAAATTGGTATGGTATTCTATGCATCGAAATACACGATATAGATCTAGTGCACTACTCATAAGGTTGCTGAAAAGTCTCGACAGCGCATGACTGGTTTCCCCAGCTTATATGTGCCATACTACGTCTATACAATATAGTGCAATACCTAGAAAATCGTACCAACCGAAATATGAAGCGGCCTGGTGCAGCACATTCAGTTTCCTAGGAACATCATAACTGAGGGTTCCAGATGTGTCTCTCATGAAAAGCAAGTTGATATGCAGATGAGTGTAGTGGTTGGATTTCGTGAAATTTAGGTTCAAGTAAAATCCAAGGTTGGCGGAAACTCGGGGATTGCACTTACCTGATGATCCCAAATAGAGGCAAAACCGATCGTGGGCTGCCTAAGAGTTTCTAGCAAACTTATGAGTGATGCCTGCACAAGAGCATGACCATATACTGAAAACTTGTGTCGTCGGATGCAAGATTCTGGGGAGATAAACTGAAGAGAGTATACCCTTATGTAAAAAGAGGAAGGCCTGTTCAGTATAATTCACTATACAAATGAGAAAAAAGGGGCATTTCAAACATTTCCGGTCCCCGATTGGGGTTGCTGCTCTAATATTTTTGTGGTAAAGGTGAAGGCTTCGCGAGGTTTTGAAACAAGTTTTTATCGTGTGAAGATAAAAGCTATTCATGGATGGGTCATCGAGATGGTAAACCATTCTGTCCAAAATCAAGTCACATTTTCAATGGTTTAGCGATTAGCCAAGGTAGTTGACATGCTGGCGAGATAGCAGTCATCAGGTTGTGGTTACCGTCACAAATAGACTGAACCTTATTGCGGTGGGACCTCCACAACCCACTCGGCTCTAATGGGGACTTTATGTGACACCCACAGGGGCTCTCATACCAGGTTGGTAAATGGGTATAGGTCTGAGAGTCCAGGAATTTGGGGGTTGTAACACATGTGGTCACTTGCTCCCAAGAAATGTAGGCTGCTATAACGGCATTACACCAACCACTGCTGGCTTGCTGTTAGGCTTTTGAGCAAGCGGCTATTTTAGGACCCTCATCGTCCTCTTGCCTTGATGTGGTCGCCATGGTGGTATCCCATCCCATGTACAACCGTGAACAACACATCTATAATTAATCCAAGCAGGGCAGCGAGGCACCAATGTTCTCATCTAGTGTTGCTGTCACTGACGCATAACGATGAAGTTTTGGATTGTACAGACAAGAACTTGTCCAAGCAGAGAGTTCGGGCCATCATTTACACGAAGGGAGAGCAGACGACAGATTTAGTATGTGAAGTGAATGTGACAAAACAGAAGATGGTTGTATGGTTTAGGCTTATTTGTGTAGCATAAATTAATGTGGAAAGAGAATACAACATCCATGTGGTAGCAACAACTAGAGAAGTCAACCCTTCGAATTCATCTGAAGGCCGCGGTACTGGTGTGTGCTCTGTGACAAGTGAACATCCCATGCCGATTACTGCTGGTGGAGCTTAGAAACAGGTATTTTTAAGGTATGGACTAGAGCGCATAAACAGCCAGTTGAACGTACTGCGTACTGTCGTGAAAATGCATCGCGGTACCCTAAACACTTTTCTGCTGAGAAGGCAATATCAGAATCACACGAATTCAGATTAGCTGCGGGCCTAGTGGTAAATGGCACAGCGCCTTCGAATGAGTTGATGGTTTTTGAGTATCAAGAGCAAGGGACTAATTATCTTGGACGTTATTTTGATATTAAGCAATCGTGAACCAACACTTGAAAACGGCTCAATAATTTCCATGCCAACCTTCCATCAGCAGCACTTTAACACTTGACCAGACGCTGCTCGCATGTTTCATCAGCATTACATACCGTTACATGACCTATATAAGCACAGACGACGAAATAATAGAAAGTGAAGAAGATTGGGCGACCTGGACTCACAATAAAGGTGAATTTTATCACCTTCAAAATGTACCAAGGTGGCTTGTCTGTCGAGAAAATAATACGTATTCCAGTACTCAATTGCCAGAATTACAAAAATTCAGGTAAGCTGTGGGCCACCAAAACGGATGCGTCGAAAATCGGTAGGTAAAATGTCCAGCTGTAAGAATCTAGCCAGAACCGTTCAAGGACGTCTCCAGGTAAAATCATTCTGTTTCATTGAGAACAATGGCTTTAGCTGAAACCGCCCTCAGCATGCCATTTTCAAATGCTATTGAATTTATTAAGGCAACCATTCCTTCTTTGCTTCGCCTTGAAGTCATCCTGGAAGCTTTAAATCCGTGGTTAGGAACGAATTTATAGTTCCAGACCAAATGGTCAAAGAGAGCGATGGCACTGACAGTGAAAAAAAACGTTCAGGGTACGGAACCCATGGCGTCGGATATTCAGAGCATGCTGATGGAAGGCCTCCGTTTACCAACACTCACACTTCCAACATGTTAGTTGCAGGTACCAACCAGTCTCCAACAGTACTAGTCAAATGCTGAGGGCCAAATCCAATGAAACAACTATAGACTGTCTCCTCAAACAAGTGTAACGTAAAGTGCTTTGCTGAACAAAACGAATGAGAAGCTCTATTCCCAACCTGGACAGAATATACATCTCACAGCGAAGAAGACTTACGTGCTCATTTGATAGGTTCCTGCCATGCCGTTGAAATTATCTAAATGGTGTTATTTAAAACGACCTACAAGTGGTAAAGAGTAGACTTATTTATTTATTTTGGCTCCGTCATTTCGTTTTCGGTCAAACAAGTCTACCTTCAACTAAGATCTGTGGACGTTTTATGGCTAAAGTTGATCACATCGTCGGAAGGGGGCAGTCGAAAAGTATGAATTTGGCCAGTTCAAAAAGTGTCTTCTTGTGGGCATCATGATATGCTCATTTTTTTACCATCTACTTAGTTGAATACAAGCCCTTTTCGCGGAGTGGGGTTTCAGTGGGTCTGCGTTGCAGGTAAACTGAGGGTGGAGTTCGGCCGATGACGAAATGCAAGCGGTAGTCTGAAGAGACTTGGCACTTTTCAACCGTGCTTTCATCCCGTCAATGAAGCCCACTGTTATATCTGCTGATTCGTCAATCTGTGGTATCTGCTGCTGACCCGCTCCAGCGCCTAATGCCGGAGAAAAAAGACTCACAGAAGGGAACACAACCGAACAAAGAGTGCGAGAGCAAAAGTTACAACGACCCCACGCTATTTAAAGGGGACTTTCTGACATTGATCCAGGCTGTTTGATAGGCGTTAATGAACACCCATCAACATCGATCGTGCCTCTATGACAAGCCTGAACGCTGATCACATTCGGTCGTGCTTCTGTGGCGTGCAAGAACACTCATCAGGTTTTGCTGAGTTGATTGAATGATTGACTGGCCTGGATGCTTGCCGGCTTTCCTGTTGAGTTCTTGGTGGAACAGTAGGTTCCAGGCGTTTTAAGGTTGCTTTCAGGAATCTGACCCTCCTGATACCCACCTATGTCGAAGGGCCGAGAAGTACTGTACAGCTGTTTAATGGGACGCATTAGCGGTGGCAATCCCGCAAAACTCAGCGTTACGAACCCGTGACCTTCCGGCAAACTGTTGAACACAGCCGTTTGGTCACGAGTGGCTGATCAGCAGTATGATTAACTGAAACCTATAAAAGACGTGGCTACACCCATCCTTCAATAATGAAAACTATATCACGTGATCGTGGTTGACTGGTTCCTCAAGTGATGACCACTCAGATGGAAGTTTCACTCATATGGAAACTACTCACAAGGCTGCTGAAAACTCCTCGACAGCCCACGACCGGCTTCGCTCTTCTTGGGGCTCATAAGGTAGGCGCAGTCCCCGAGTTTCCGTCAATCTTATGTTCTACCTGAACACAAATCGAACTGTTTTCGGGAAATACACTCATTTGCAAATCAATTTGGTTTTCACGAGAGACTCAACTGAATCTGTCGTTTATGATATTCTACAACTGAATGTGCTGCACACAGGCCGCCTCATGTTTCAGTTGGCACGATATTCGAGATATCGCAGCATATTTTCGTAAGGGTAGCGAGAGATTCAGTTGAGTCTCCCACGATTACCAAATTGATTTGCAAATGAGTGTGTTTCTCGAAGTTTCACTCTTCTTGTGAAATCCTTATTTTGAGCCACTTTTAGATTGACCGTGATCTGAGGACATATTGTAATTTTAATTCAGGATTTTGTCCAGTCAGTGATGCCAGTCTATGCTGAAAGGCCGAAGAGCACTTTACAGCTCCCTTGATTTTCGTGAAATTAGTACTGCTGATAATTTCCAACAAGGAGGAAACAGCCATAAAGTGCTTATCGTCTGTTCAGCATAGATGGCTTCACAGATCCAGGTTGAAGTACAGATGACCATAGAAGGGAGGTTCACCTGGAAACCCGTGACTTAGCTGGACATGGTTTCACTGAGGAAACTAGAGCAGCTAACACTCGTGCATTTTGCGCAGCGTTGCAAGTTGGCGTTGGCCCACTTTTGTCGTGTGAATGAACACTGCTTAGAATAAGAGGACTTTCAAATTCTACGGGGTACTCGCCCATGAGAGAACGAATAAATAGACCACAATGGACATTGTGATGAAACCAGTAAACCTAGCAGAAAGTCAGATTCACACCAAAACGAAGAAGAACTTCCTGACCACGCGAAGCATATGCTGTATCTATTGCTTCCACTTAATAGACCAGGAGGACACGAGGCGCAAGAAGAGAAAATGATGGTTTTCTTTCGAAGAAAAAAATAACAACAAGTAACACAGAGAGAAAAAAGAGAAGTGGGATGTGATGTGGCAAAAGTCAAGTGGGAATGTACAAAGTCAGTCCCATTAGGTAGTCGCGAAGATGAACGACAATAAATGCATACGGACGGGCGACAGATAAAATGAATTAGCTCTGGTCTCATGAGGACAAAATCAAAAAAAACAACTCTACCAGTTACAGACGAAATTCGATCATCCTAAAAGGAAAGACAGACAAGTAAGAGCGCATAAAGATGAACAGGTCGAAAGGAGAAATGCTAGACAAAAAACAGTTGGCATCTACTTACTGATTGACCATTTGAAACGAGGCCAACGTTAAAAGTACGCTTTTATATAGAAAAGTTTGCTACAAATTTGCAAGGCAAGATGAGGTGTGAGTGGACCAAGTGACTGGTCCTTGATATGTGTGTGGTACAGAATCATCGGTGCGGCACAATGATGTGCCGATCTGAATATCACCACTGACCGAAAGCAACCACGGAATGTAAACCCTAGACCAATGCGAGACAAGCACAGCAGAGAAAAAGGCAGACACAGGAAAAACTAAAGCGTCTTGTTTCGATACTCGACGATGAACACGAGTGACTGGGTTAAAAACACCGTGTAAAAAACGCTCGTAGTTCACGAAAATTCAGAACTCTCGTTGATATGTGTTCATTCATGATATGGGATAATAAAGGCGGACCGCTTGGTTAATCACGTGACTGGCCAACCGGAACAATGTATCACTTCAGAGGCAAATATGGCGAGGGAAACTTAAATTGAAGCATACCAGAAAAATCAATAAATGCACGTGGTTTTATCAGGCCGTTGGATTCTCATCACAATGGGGGCTAGTGAGCTTTTCTAAAATGTTGTGAATAATAATGAAAGGAATCGGCTAAGCAATCGAATCCCAGTTGAACTGTTCTGGCCCAGTGACTGTTTCTTGAAATGTGTTGGTTGACTGGCTAGTGACAGGCATTAAGCCTACACCGGAATGTAGTCCGGATTTGTCCATATAAAGGTCATGAAAAATGCTTTGCGCCATGGGATGAACAGTGGCTTGGGAAGATAACATATAAATACCGGACTGATGTTTGGTTGGATGATCATTCTGAGAAATGGTGTGTAACGCCGTTTTTGTTTGAATTGTGGAAGGTCTTCCATCGCCAAGTTCCGTTTCTGTACTCACGACACTAGAAATGCCAGAGGACAACCGTGAAGAGTGATAGGGAGTTTTAGTCTGCATTCTCTCGGAATCTGAATCTACTGGCAGCAAGTTCATTATCCGCTGCGACAGGCGAGGATCGATCCACGTGGAGTGCGCGCTGTCAGCTGTACCGAATCCACCAACACCACCGACAAAACTACCAGAGCTCACATGACAACCGGAATAGTGACCGGAAATATCTGTGTATATCTCTGTCGGAACCGGACTGAAGTATGCGGAAGTCGAGACCCCATCCGAAGTAGTACGTAACCAAGAATCGCAACTTGGCAGTGTAACTTTTGATCCTGTCGAGCAAACACTTGAGAGTTCATGTGTTTGACCTGGTTTCAAGCACTCAAACGTAACACCTCCGGAGGATGAGCAAGCTTCTGGAGTGCCTTCGGAAAGAACTGATTCATGGTGTCCTCCATAAGCGCTATGTGTAGCTGGCAGAAAAGAACAGACAGGTTAAACTGAAGGGTACCGAATAACACGAAGGATGTTTTATCATCACAAATTGTAAGCTGTGATCGAAACTGTGGCAGCTGGATCAATGTGCTGTTGAGACAAGGTTTATGGATGATCAACCGGACTGAACGAACTGTGATACAAATGAAAACATGAAAAGAGCCAATTTAACCAGCTTTGAATTCTCAAGGGACCAAGCGTCACATCGCTACTGAAGATTATTTCGATTTGAACTCAGGGAAATTTCGGGACCATTGCTCAACCCCAGGTGACCTGTTCCGCACGTCCAAGGCTATGAACCATTACTCAGAAGAGACCATAATTCGCGTCCCTTAGGAGTGGACTTCAATCAAGGGTGTACTATCGTCACTACAGACAAAAAACAATCGAAGGTCGGTAGAAATCGCAATCAGCTAGTAAGTTTCTGGGCGGTGCGAAGATGCTTTGTATCACAGTCCTAAACCTCATTTAGTGTCTCACAGCTCAAGTAAGTTCCCCGGATCAAACTCTTGCGCTGTTACTGAGCGCTGAGCTGACTTTTAAAAGTCTGACCAGATCAAGTATAAGACAGTAATATAAAGTAGTATTTCAGCTATGAAACCATTGGGTGCATAGCTGCGGTGCAGCTATGGTACTGTGGAGGCCACCAGGACAAAGATAAACGAAAAATCTGGGTTAGTTTCCGCCAGAAGACTTTTCGTTGATAGTTTCGCACCCTAATCGCGGAGCATTTTGCGGACGAATTTATGACAGGATGGCAGACACCCCGTATTCGTTTACACCACCTTTTTACTGATTCAAACACTAAGGGTATCCCGCTCAACAGTAGTTTATTGCGAATTTCTATTTTGTGAAAGTCGATAACTACGTCACTGACTGCTACACACGCCCCGTGATCAGTCATTTTATCGGAAGTGGATTTGTCCACAAAACCCTACTAATGCACTAAGCACCAGACAGCGCTGGATAAAGAGTACCTTTGCAGTGAATCGAGTGACAAGCCCGTAAGTCCACGAAGATATTGTAACAACCTTCCTCTTGGGAAACGTTGACTCACCCATAGATTCTAGTTCCCACAAGCCTGCATCATTGGAACGTCCCTTGTGGTATCGTGTGGAAGCTGGTAAGAATGGTAAGTCCGAAGTGGCAGCGTCCATCAAAAAGACCACGTTCGAATGCGTCGTCGACAAACTGCCCCCATTGTGTGCTGTCACCGGTTTGGTCAATGGTGTGAATGTCAATTCCTCCTGGTCACCCAAACTTGACACACGTGACGTTGAATTTGTGTAATCATTTGAGGAAGCCTGTCTCATACTGTTGGTGCAAGAAGTTGTTTTGTGATGTTCCGGTGGATTCATCAACGGCTTTCTGGTTCCATAACTAGTAACTTCATCCGCTATGCGGATAAATGCATTTTCCAGGCAACTGTTTAAATCTTTCAGTTGTGTAACACTAAGACTATTCGGATCCACGGTGGCCTCGCGTAATTTGGCAGTCAGGTCTGTAAATATCGGTACATAAAACGGTATCGGAAGACATCAATTAGATTATTTGTGATGTGTTTCTGAAGGCGTGCACGCATTAAGTGTGATTCAAAGCTCATAAGGTTGGCAAGACTACCAATCTAAGGAGGAAAGCCCTTCACCGAGAAGACGTTTATTAGCAAACACCAACCAAACAGTAACAAACTATGAGACCGGAAGGTAAACAGCTCATATGCACCAAGATCACTGCAGACCTCTGCTAAGGAAGTTATCCATCTTCCTAGGGGTAAAACTTTAAGAACTGACGTCGTGGTAGACGTTCCAGTTCAGAGCTGTCACCCTAAGGCTTGCTATAGGAGAGCTGCAAAAAAGTCCATGTCATAGTATGGCGGTCTCTTCCCAAAATTTACTGACCGAAGTAGATATCGATTCTGTCGTCCATATACAGCTTACCAATCACTACCACAAATGACCATTCTCCGTATCTCCTCAAAGCTTACCTGAAAATTCATTTAAGTTGACCGAGTTCCAGTCAAACTGACTAGCGGCATGTAAACTGCGCTGAAGCAAGTAGTTTAAATTCTGTGCTGGTAGAGCTTCAGTTGTGTTTTCGTCCGAACCGGAGACAAGTTTTGACTCAGTCTTGTGGGAGTTTAGAAGGATTCGACCGACGTTCATCAAGTCGTATGCGGCTGTGGTAGTAACCGTCCTAATGGGAACGAAACCTGCCTGCAGCGAGGTAGGTTGCGAAGTGGTTGTTAGGTTTGTGTTAGCAGCAGATTTACCGCATTCGTCCGCACACAGGTTGGACTGCAGAGTGGTTTGGCCTTTCGGGTGCAGGAAAGGAGGAGGAAAGGCAATCAAAAAGCTGAAAAGTCACTTCATATGATACTGGCGTGAAGTCATAATTGCTGTCAATAACAGCGGGATCAACTCTGAAACGTCTCTGCCGCATGCTCACAAACCTTATTTATTCATTAGTTCTTAAGCCCAGAATGACAAGTAGAAATGGACCTAGCCCTAACCACCGTGATGGTAAATTGCCTACACCCAAAAATACTCATTCAATCTGTAGAGAAACTGATAGCTCGAACGTCACTCACATCCTCCCGTCTAGCCGCACTATAAGTAACAAACAAATGGAAAAAACTTACACCTGATTGGCCATCTGACGACTAAGAGCTATCCAGTGTCTAGCCCTTAGCCTATACACTCTAAACCGCCATTGTCCTCTTTTAGTGCCACAGACCTCCAAGTAGTGAAGACATATATCCCGTCCCTTTCAAAATAGGAGAATGTGCTCTAAATAATCACCTGACTCTACCGATTTAAAGAATCTGAGACGAAGACTGGATATCAAGTCATCGGAATTCTAACACAGTCATCACAGTCTTAAAAAAGGAGGACATTTCGAAGCTATAAAGTATCAGAGCATTACATGGATGCGTTACGAGAATGCATCCAAATTAGTTTTTGGTAACAGTTCACCATCGAATTCCATACCGGTAGAGTTAAACACTCGGGGAACGTGAGTGAGGCGGACTATATCTTCTTCCAGAGGTAATTGCTAGAACACCCCATAACTATCGCTGAGAGAAAGAGTACCTTTGAGTGTAGATTTGTCTACTGACCAACACGAACTGAATGGTAACAAGCTACCAAACACAAAAGCAAAATCCTCATTTGCACAAAGTTGCGAAAAGTCAACATCCCAAATTGTCCTCCCAAACTTCCATGGACGTTGTCCGAATTTCAAAAAATAAAGAACGCTGAAAAAGCGGTTCATTAATTTCCGTATCAGCCTTCCATCAGATACAAGGATGATATTTGGGCACTTGACCAGATGCTACTGCAAGTTCCACCTGTAGTATGCACCGTTACATTGGCCCACCATGTTCTACAGTCGAACAAAAGCTGAGATAGACAAGAATATTCGTCATTTCCGTCTTTTCAGTCGCACCACCAATGACATATTGATGAGTGCTTTGGGAGACTTATCGTCGAGATTTCTAAAACTGAACCCGGGTACTGCATGAAGATCTTCCAACATGTGTCAATGTGGAACAGGGTTGAATCCCCAACCTAACATACAATATATACTAACATACTAATATAAAATATAAGTACCAAATGGTTTGATAACAATAACGGTACAAATAAACTGAAGCCGGATTACTGTTGTTACTGTGGTCCCTTTCCATTAAAATTGAAATTTGAAAAATATATTGTACAGTGAAGAAATCCTGTACTCAGATGAAATGTATCATATCTGGACTGGGAGAGATACCACTGACTTCATTCAAACTGAAATCATTCTCAGCACTATTGAAAGTATGCTATCAGACTTAAACACTGATGATTCACCCTAGGGAGATCACTCGAAGCTTTTGACTAAAACAAGTCTCTTGTGAGAGGATTTTAAAGGTTGACAGAAAACTCAAAAAACATAGCAGAAGTGGTCTTCTGCTCTAGGTGTCTCTGCTGAGGGCGTCCTTCTAGAGTGAAAATTCTACTACCGAAATCGTCTAAAGCGGTGCTAAGCCTGCAAGACTGCGGTGACTATTTGAAACGCAATGCCACTGATATGCAGCAGGTAGCGCCAGCATGTCAAATGTGGTTCCGTTCTTCAGAGCTTGTAATTTTGACCATCCGAAATTTTTCTCGGGGAAGACTTGAGAAACCCTAGATGACCTTTTTCGGAAGTTTGGAGATCCCAGTTCCGCACCAGACTTCACGAAACGGGAATAAACTGAGGGAAATAGGATGGTACTCCTTAAGAGAAACTTGGTATACTTACTTATCGGCTCAGGCGTCCTAGGGATTAACTGTTTTACCATCCAGGGAGTCGCAGAGAGAGACAGAGAGGCCAAGTGAAAATCTCCCCGATGTTTTACTACCTGCGTTCGAGTGAACGCAAGATAACGTTGTTTCAAAGCTTCCGACAACGATTCCACTCAGATCAGGGTCTCAAAGTACGCCTCTACTGAACTTAATAAAAACTGTCGCATACCCACTGCCGGTTTCGTCTATTTTGGTGCTTACCAAGTAGACTTGGTCACATAAGTTTCCCTATTCCCTCTTAGCCCATGAAAGCCCCTTTAGACTAGTATCGCGCGAGACACGTGTTTTCATTCTCATTTCAGTCAGTTCAGTTCACCAGCTATAGCTCATGCAGCAAGTTCACGTCAGTTCCAGTTGTTACAGTTTCGACCACCGGAAATCAGGGGAGCCTGAGAGATATAGCCAAGAATTGAAGGCCATGGCATGATCAGTTAGTCCGGGAAACTGGGCATCTACCGAGTGAAAGCGAAAGCTTTGATGCACAAAAGACTGCATGACCGCGGCAATTAGCCATGTCTGCCAGCGTCACCAACCATTCATGAGTTGTCTGGGAAACCGAATTCAGGAGGGCGGCAGCTATCGACCCGACCGAGTTAACTAGTTGGTGTTTTCACACTCAAGCAGACGTTTTCTGCCGGATGTGCTTCAGATATATAATGCGGAAGGTGTTAACTCTTTAACAAGGCCAATTCCCGATGTTGACTGCGGATTGCTGAAGTAACTTCCGTGAAAAGTTGAAGTGGTCACAATCTGACTTCTCGAAACTCCCGAGTCATGCTGTTTAAATTTTCCCATCCCCTCGATCTGTGCCACATTCTTAAAGCCCCAGTATTTTCAAACTTATTCAGTCAAAACCGGTGCAGCCGTCAATGCCTCTGCGGAGTTCGCAATCACAAGGTCCTAAAAGACGTCCAATGACAACTTCGTGTGTGTGCACTTGTCATAGCAACACATATAAATGACATCATTGTCAAAGCCGGTTCGAATGTTTGCACACAGGTCATTTTGTAGCAGTCGAGCTGGCAGAAAATGTTTCCCATGAACAGCAGGAAAGTTAGAAGTGGTACCAAGACCCCTACCTCCATCAATCATACGGGGATACAGCAATTGACTGCTGGATACAGATACTAAGATGGACCCACCTCTAAACTGGAAATGTAGTCCCCATACAAATTAAATATGAGGAACCTGTAATCCGTAGTTACAGAAACAAATACACATGGCACAGCTGCAACCAGCGTGAACTTAGACTGTAGGAACAGGTTAATGGCACCTAAAAAGCTCCCTTTTGCAAGAAGAGCTCGTAATTCATGGCTAGTAAAGCTTCTTCTGGAGGTAGTCATTACCGGAAAGCTTTGGATTGAAAATAGTGCTTTGTCGAGAGGTGATAAAATACCGAAAGAAAACTTATGATGAACACATGTTGGTGCGGAAAATATTCTTCGTGTAATAGGTGACTAAACGATAAAGAAGCTAAGCGAAGATAGCAGCAGCTTTATACTGAAACCAGGGAAATATGCATGAAGAAATTGGAATTGTGCTCCAGACCAATGCCCCATATTTATTGCTCAATTTGAGATAATAGTATTTAAACGGGCTTCCGTACATTGAGAATATTCTGAAATTCACAGCTGACATATCCACCGATTCGTCTGCCAAGTCGGACATTTGAGTTGCAATCATTTGGGGTGACATCGTCAGCTCAGTGAGTGAGGTAACGTGGGCATTGCGCGTGCATGGGCGGTAAAAAGCCAACAACCCAACAGCCCTACTCCCCAGAAAATTAGTGGCCACCAATACAGCCTGGGCTATGAATATTCGCTCCATGTGTACAAATTGCGGATTCACTTAGTACACTGACCAGCTTGATGGTAGACATTCGGCTGTCTCAAAATTGGCAAATAGGTCGCTTTTCTCCTCAACTGGAAAATGCTCCCAGAAACGAAGATATTGATCGCGTTCTGTCGGTTATGAAGGGACGGCTAGTTATGGCTTAACAGAACGTAATAACTTAAACATAGACAGTTATAAAAAAGGGATATGCGTTCATTTGTCAGTGAAGCGGACGAATGTAGCGGAAAGAACCATAACCGAATTACAACTGAATATCATCAGCATCATCAACTGCAAAAACCTCGTACTCGCCCTGAGGCGTTTATAGCTGCCACAGTTTCGTTCTCCAATGATTTGGGAAGGTGGATGGATAGCTGCGCATCGGAGGCTCCAACTGATATAACTGATGCATAAATACAGATTTTCCAATGTACTTTTCTTTGGGGTTACGAATTGAAGGTGACAGCTTTGATGCACGAACGCCACTGGGGGCACGACTGGGGAATGCGTGACAATTTCTCTAATCATTGATGTGCTTCGTCTCGGAGTACTCGTCCAGGAAGACGACAACCGCGAACGATTTTGAGTCCGTTGGCAATGACTTTCATACTTCGCTGCCAAGTCATTGTTTGACCTCCCCTGACTCCTTTCCACTCTTCGCGTGGTTGTGTGAAAAGAGCCCTTCGAGGTTGTCTGTTGACCAGCACATGACCAAGCCAGCGCAACCTATAGAGTGTAATCAGTTCATCTATCGTGGGCGAGTTAGTTCTTCCGGAAACCATTCGGGGTACTTCAGCATTACTGATCTGGTGTTCCCACTAGACCCAAGTAATGCTCCGAAGCATCGATGGTCAAACTCTGAAAGTGCAGCTGAACGGAGCATATCAACAAAAGACTTAGCTGAACTGCATCGGCAAGCAATGTAAGATAGGGTGGACTGAGAGAAATAAAACATGCAGCGTTTCTCAGTCCTTAGGCATTAAAATTAAACTTTAACTTCATCATATAACCACACCCTGGTGGGTGCCAGCGGTCCCAGTAAAACAAAACACCGAGTTGGTTGGACGAAATGAAACTAAATGTGTGTTCTGTGTTGACGGCTCTCCAAAGTGTGACGAATGAGTTTCTACCACATGATTATGCATCCCAACCAAAACTCTATCTCCTTCCACTGCCTTGTGGGTCGGAATTTTTAGTCAAACGGTCGAGGTGAGGTAGCACAATCAAACCTCCTTCTTCGACCTGAGCAACCGAGAAGCAGTATTCGATCTTACAACTCCTAATTCACTAACTTCAGTGCATCTATCCGAATAACTCCGATGGCTTGTTTTGACGGAGTGGAGAGAAAACGGTGACGGAGTGGCAAAACTGTTAGATGGACAGAATAAACTAAGCTATATGAGAATAACAGCCAAACTAACACGGCTCAACAGAGCATCGACTTGTTGACTGTATTTTCACCAGACCATGAAAGTTGTCCGTTCAAAAGAATAGGAAATCCGACGGATAACAGCTTCCACAAGTTTTCCAGGACAAAATCTAGACAAGTAGTCACATACGCCTATAGAATGTGGGGTGATGATGTTCCTTAGCAGGGAGGACAAATTTAGCGAGCTTACCATGTCCAGGCGAGGGAGGTTATCCCTTTTTACCTGGCAACCAACCCTCGCATGCAGTTCCCTGCATCTTGTCGTCCACGTGCGTTGGTAGCGCCATCATGGTACCTTACTTTCACAGTTGTCTACAACCACACTAAGAATGGGAGTGAAAATGCAGTTTCTCGGTCGATGGACAGGTGCAGGTAGACGGAGATAAGTCTGGGTGTTTGGGCGAATGAGATCCAAGGACTAGAATAAAGGTTACACATCGTGAAGTTCAATACGTTTGAAGGATGCCACTCGAAAATCGAGGTTGCTGAAGTAATCTGTACGGAGTCCCCACAAAACGTCAAGTTCGTTCCTAATGGGCCCCTCAATGGTAGGAAATACAGATTCAGTCAGATACTGATAGCCCAGTTACGTCGGGTTTTCATCCTCGTTTGGGATGGTTACCAGAACCTAGAGGTCCGCGTTAGTATAGATAGGAGTTCAAACCAGAAGAGAGCGCATCCGGATTAGAGATGAGTGCTTTGACTACTCACTAGTAGGCAAATTACTCATCGAATTCGACGGGTACAATTGACCGGTATTTGACCAATAAAATTGGAAAGGGACCCAGGGAAAAAGTTGAACGCGCCTAAGAGAGAAAGATACACTTGAAGAAAAGTGGGGGATATGTAACAGTTCACGAACAACAAAGAAAGCCTACCTTGTGAATCAAACAGAACATGATACAAGTGTCGGAAAGAAGCGCTCAAATCCAAATCGTAACTGGAAATATCGAAGCTAGATTTAGAGGAGCTTGATCCATCCAGGTTGGTGTTCTGATCCATGTGTGACTCATTAGGTATCAAATAGAAATCTGACCCGGAAGACGCAGTGGTAGATGTTAGAAACTGAGGTCTTGCAAATCCACTCATCTGACTGGTTGCACACTTGTTCGCGTTCAAAACAGTGAAGTTTTTCCCAATATGGTTTCGTTGGAATTCACTTTCGTCGGACTGTTCCGTATCGTCCGTCGTGAGGCTGGTCAAGGCATAAGAACTGCGATCGTCAATCATGGAATGGGCAGCGTAGTAACAGTTTGTGGGATCTCGTGAAGCTGGAAGAAGACTGTTGTCTAAGAGCGACAGATCTACACATGACTTGTTGGTTCCCTCCTGGGGCCGAAGAGGTGATGTGGCTCGCCCAAATGGCCCCATCATACCCATAGACTGGGACTTGTTGTTGTTGATGGCATGCATTGGCCTCCTCGGTAAGCACAACTCTGTGTAATCGATTCCTGGAGAAGGAGAAATGTCCTCGATCCCAGTGGCGCAACCACCAGGATTGTGTGACGGTTTGGTCAGGTCCTGAACATGGGAAGTCGACAGCGGAAGGTACGACCCATGATATTCCTCACCTATTGAATGGTTACTTTGTGTTTGTTTGATATGTTGGCGTTTTTTTTGACCCACGGTTATGGGTTGTCCGGATTTTGGACTACAGCAATCTAAAGGGCTGGCATTGTTGTCCGATTGGTTGCTTCCAGGAGAGTGTTGCTGTTGTTGGCCTACGGAGGGCGAGTAGGAGTTGCATGATATGCCGTTGGGATCAGTGGATAAAATCTATTGAATCAAAAGATTGTTTGCGATGAAACAATTTATGCGACAATGAATATTTGAAGAAATACAGAAGTATACTGATAAAGCCTAACAAAAGTTCCTTGGGACCGTTGAAGCTAACTGAGGATTGCTGCAGGCAGTGGGTGTTTTGTTGAGGCCGAAACTGCACTATTTCTAAGTTCTTCCTTATCGAGCCATAAAAACAGGGTTACCAACCTCAATGTGGTCCATTATCCAGTAAATTACATCAACAGACCTCTAGGGGAGAAGAAGCCGGTCGCCTTATTCACATACGTTTCTCGCAGTAGTGACCCAGTTAGTCAACAACCATATCAGGGACGTAAAGGCGGAAGCCAGATTGGACGACCACAGTCGTATTTAGCTATGAATAATCCATTAAATGACGAAACCGGATTCATCCGGTTGACAGATATAGCTTGATTCTAAAGTCATTTGGATCAATGTGTCCCCCCCAGCTCAAATGAATAAAACACCAATAATTTGGGGGTCGTGAGGTGTACACGGTGTCCAGCATTGATGTTACGTTGTACATGCTGATGTCAACAGAGCTAATTACTTTCATCGGTTGGAAACGTAAAATACTCGCGAGCTGTTGGTACCAGGAACGGTAATAATGACCGGACATTGAACGTCACAATAGTTAGTATGACAAGAACTAGGAAGAGCCTAGTATCAGGGTAAGCAGACAGCCTAAATCAATAATTTTTGTGCGTAGTTTCGTGGTTTACGAAAAACAACTAATGAGAGGTCTGCTTACGCAGTTGAACAACAGACGTCTGAGAAGTGTCAGATTTGTTACGTATTTCAAAGATATGTCGCACAATTAATGATTATCCTGCCACATATCAGTGGTTTTATGCTTTTTTGCTAGCTCGAGGACTGATCGCAAACTTTAATTGAAAAATGCTCGGACTTCCTTGATGAAGCCACTGGTTTCCCCTGTCGATGACTACAACAGCAACTACAGTGATAAACAGCATGTAAGGTAGATCGAACTGGAGTGCGTCTGGATCACTACGCTTCACTACAACCGTGGATCAGTGGTGAATTTTAGTGCTTAAGTGCCACCTAAGGAAATACGAATTTTTAGCAGGGACTGAAAAGAAGAGGAAGGAGCGGAGAGCTGTTAGAAACAGGTGTTATAATGTGTGTTTGATGACACTACTAAAAATTCAATAAACGATCAACGAATGATGTGAGTTTTACAAATCCTGCAACAACCTACGGCTAGTCAAGGACTGTCCACCGGGTTTCAGGGTGTGCGTGGTGTTATGTGACTGGAAAGCCTTGACGGGCGGGTTCGGGACGATTAATGGGTCGTGTTCGAGCCTCCAGACAAACCAGTCATACCTGTCAAACGTAAACATGAAAATTCACCTGTCCAGCAGGCGCAGGTTGGGTGATAATGAAATACTCGAATTGCATGTTATACGTCCGAGTTCAAATCTCAGTAACGCCATGGATACGCATCATTGACGAACTCTAAGAAGGAAGAAATCCGAGTCTAATGTCTCCACCTTTGGTGTGAACTCATAAAATAATTATTCCGGGGCAGGAGGGAACGTTAACACGAGAAATATGTGGATGTGAATTTGAGCTGCTTTCACGCTCAACCCTCTTTCGCAGCACCAATCATTCGGCACGTTCCACGGCTTTCAGGCATTTCCCAGTCTGCTGATGAGCTAAGATCAGCAAAGCCCAGTCTCGTTGGTCCCACTGGTGAACAGATTGTTTAAAGCGACTGATGACTGACATGACTATACTCTTGATATCGGCTGTTTCAGGTGATTCAACCATATGATGGGCCTGAAACGTCAACTACTTGGTTATGGGAGGGGGTCTCTGAAACGGAATACGTTATCACGTCATCCAGCTCAATCGAACGACGGACCATCAGAGCAGTCTCATTCAGATGGTTTACACAGAGTGTGGGGTCTCCGCATATTCAACCGAATCCGTCCATTGTTGAAGTTAGCTTCACAGTTGCGAGCTTGTTGAACCAGCTTGAAAGCAAAAACACTGGGCAACCTTTCATTGGTATGAGAATGCTGAAGTCTTATTTTTTGAACGCGCTAAAGTTCAAACTTCAAAAAATCTCTAAGAAAATTTATTTCAGGAGATGCGGGGTAAGGAATGAAAGAACAACAACTTCTGGTGACAGCGTGCTACTTCATGGGGTTTAGGTCATGGCCGGAAGGGAGGGGCTAAGGCGTTGGGACAAGAGACGTGACCTAAGCAGAGATGGGAGGAAATGAAATTAATCTATACTGACAATCTCCCGTGTCCACAGAGGGCGGGGTTGAAACGATGGTGTCATATTCGCTTCTCCGTTTCATGACGATAAGTGACAGGAAACTAAGACCACTGAACTTGGGTGTGTACACTGATATTGGTGAAGACTGAACTGGTGAGAAAGGAAAGTCCAGTAGGCAATCTGCCGATGAAATGTAAAACAGCGCGACCGATGCTCTCGGATTCACCATCAGAGCGATACGGAAATAAATAAACCCTTTTGTGTAAAATACCATGCGACTGGCTAGTTGGCGAATAAGGCTGGAAAATTTCCTTCGAGGATGCCGGAAAGCAAAGAGTGTGTGGATATTTAGGACGCTTCAACTGAGATTTTGTCGTGTAATTGAAGGCCACATCTATGCTGAGATATGCTGAAGTGCTGTTTCATCCTCATCATGAATCATTACCAGTGCGCACGAAACTCCAAACAGTTTCACACCCGAAAACTTCAGCTAGCTTGATCACTTCATCATTCTAGGCTAAACTTCTGAAAAGCAGTGTGACTGAGACGTGCTTAGATAGGACACAGCGCCATTCATCTTTCCACCACGGAATCCACATAACGTGGTCACACGTGTTGACTGGCTCCTCGACTGACAAGCTCCCAAGAATAAGTTCCACTCGTCGCGTGAACCATTCGTTCTTTCCGACTCATTTACAGAATGTTGGTAGTGTGACAAATTTGGGAATTTTCAATTCGAATTTCGTCCTGCAAGTGAAGCCTGCGCAGAAGCCTAGGTTACCTCGCACTTCCATCACGAAAGGTGATAAATGAAAGGAGATCACACTATAGAAACGTACGCTAACTTTCAACTAAATACCAAAAACTTAACAATACAAACTCCTCTTACGTCTAAGTGGCTTTTCTCCAAGATATAACACCCGAGCGCAAAGACTCGACAAGTTAGACTCTTCGAATACGGGGAAAATGTGACGGGTACCCGGAGCTTTTCGGTACAATGTGTTAAGTTTTACGTCCTTTCTCTGTTACACCATATCTACATACTATTACGCAGGGAAGGTACACAAGTTGAACGCCCTTACAAGGAACAGAATTGGGGGCGGTCGAGTTAGGAACCAAAAATCTCAGCATCCCCGAACGTTTCAACGACCCAGTGATTTAACGCCTATGCGTTGAAAATGCTGCTCAATAATTCACTCACCAAACCGTCAACTGGAAAGATGTACCGAAAAATTGGAAGAACAGTTTAGCTGTCCCCCTTCAACAAAACCTGCAGAGATGGCGCATACGGGCGAATGAAGTGTAAACCTAAATCGCCCGTCGGAAGAAGAAGTAAAGCACGAAATATTCGTACTGAAACGCGAGAAGACACCAGGACCTGACGGTCTGCATTTAGCCCTCTTCAAATAAGACAAAGAATCCCTTGTGACCCACCTGACAAAGCTCATTGGTGCTATATGGCACGAAGAGAAGATGCCTGCAGAATGGGGCATGCCGACAGTTATTCCTATCTTCAAAAAGGGTAGGTGGACGCTATGTCAATACCCAAAAACTTACTGGAACCAACTACGTAGAAACCGTATCCGACCTGATGACGTCTCACTGAAACGACATACACGCAGTCAGCTTGGTACACTGTACGCACAAGCGACCGAGTATCAACGACTGGCCAATCAAAGACTACACATTTTACAGGATATTTCAGACGACGAATGTCAGCAGTTTATATCTTACTTTAGAAGTATTGCTACAAAACAGGCTGATAAGAAAACATTCAAATTAAACAAAACCCTTAGTGAGGAAAAGCCGCGAGCGAAATTCCCTGAAAACCCTGAGAGGTACGTATACAACTGTTCCAACTTTGTTATCGAGGAAACGCTTTTGGAGGTCTTATCACCAGGGCCAAAATTCTGCTGCCCGCACCGTAGAGATGAGAAATGAGCAATCGAGGTGCAATTCGAGAACCTATTTGACCCGACTTCTGGCCTCTCCGTGACCTCAATGGCCAACTTAGACCGCCTCAAATCCGATTTGGTCAATTGCAGCTATCAACATAGTCACGCCAGGTTAGTTCACAACAGTCTTCGCACAAAGAAACACCTAGACGCATCGAAAGCCTTACGAACGAGGAGTGATATACTGTTAACAAAGACGGACAAAGGAGCTGGAATGGTACTTATGAACAGGGACGACTATCTCATGAAGATGATGCAGATCTTGAATGATACTTCAAAATTTAACAACCAGCAAAAGGCAAAAGACCAGACTCAAGCAACTGAAAAAAAACTAACAAACTGTTTGAAACGCCTGAAGAATGAGGGTTTGATTTCTGAAGTCTAATTCCAACGCCTGAAAACTGCCGGTACCACAATCCCGCGACTTTATGGATTGCCTAAGGCTCATAAGAAAGATGTTCCGTTGAGGCCGATTTTGGATATGTGTAATTCCCCATATCACGCAACTGCACAATGGTTGGTCGAGATTTTAGAACCCGTACGCCAACATTTATGCCAGTATAGCCCCGTGACACTTTTGAGTTTGTGGACCTGATAAAAGATTTGGATATTGGTTTCACATTCATGTGCTCTTTTGACGTAACTTCTCTTTTTACCAACGTCCCACTCTTGGAGACCATAGACTGTATCTGTGATTACATTGACTCATCAGGTTTGACATTCCCAATCCCCACCACTTCATTAAAGGAACTACTCCTTCGGTGTACTTTCAA